TTAAAAAGCTACCTGTATATATATATATATGTACATATATATATATATATATATATTTAAAGCCAAGGTTTTGATACTTTTTTACAAAAACTACAAGAGAAAACAAATACCTGTACAAACCATGTACTTTGAAAATAGTTTTCTGTTCTATACAAACTTATTTGGGGGTCAAATACTGGTTTACAAACTCCGTTAAGTTGTACCCAAATGGATTTTCTGTTTGTCTCCCCACCCCCGAGTTACCGTATTTGATGTAACAGTCAGGCATGTTAGAATGTTGGGTCATGCTAACCGTTTCTGCTCTTTTTGTCTGGTCATTCCAAGTCCCATTAGCTTCTGTACTCAGTGCTCTTTGCAGGCTGGGTTCTTTTCCAGAGGCAGAGGGACTGAAGGTCATGTGCTGCATCTCATGAGCTGTACTGACATCACCTTGGTGAATGGAAAACCAAATGTGGACATTTGTAAAATCAGTGCACTGTTTGTAGCAAGAGATTAAATTCCTTTTTTAAATCTGTAAGTATTGTTTCATTGTGATGCTTTAATGAGGGAAGTGTGAACTATTATTGAGTCCTTAATATGTACTAGGTATTCTACATAAATTGTCTCAGTCATTGTCAGCAATTGTGCAAGATAAACAATATCAGTATTATCCATCCCCATTTGATAGACAAGGAAATGGGTGAAGGAATTGCTCAAAGTCAGTTATTTTCAGTACCCCAAAGATCAACTGCACATGTGGTGTTCTCTGCCTAGATTTCCCTTCCCTGCCTCTATGCAGTTAGTTCAATTTGTTGTTGAGTAATTCCACTTACATAGTGCCTCCTCTAGGAAGCCTTCCCTATTCTCTGACTAGGTTAGAGAATCAATTCTCTGCATAATAATTATTTTCTTCTTTTTTAAAAAAAGTTATTTTATTTTATTTATTCATTCATTCATTTTAACCTGAACAGAGACAGAGAGAGGGAAAGTGAGAAAGCAAGCCACCAGGTCCAGGACTCAAACCATGGTTGGCCATGTGGGAGTGTCCAGCACCTTAACCACCACGCCACCTGCTGGTCCCCAGTAATTTTTGCCTACCTGCATCCCAATGTTTCTGCCCTGCCAATCACTCCCATGCTGTTAAGGGAGCTTTTACCAAAGTCATCCAAGATGTCTTTGATTATAAATCTTATAAACACTTTCAGGCCTCATCTTCCTTGACCTGGAAGCAGTGCTTAATACTATTGGCCACTTTTTTCTTGGAATACTCTTACTTTGGTTTTCATAATACTATACTCCTGGTGTTCCCCCTATTTCTCTGCCCACATCTAAGTCTTCTTTGCCCACTCCTTAAATTATGGTATCCCATCCCAAATTCATCCACTTTCCTTCTCCATTGTCACTACCAAGTACAGGTCACCATCACAGTGGTGTGTAAAATAACCACTCAAGTAACAACTGTCATGGCCTACTTTAGCAATCACTTATTGTAATTACATACTTCTAGTTTTTCCATTTTGCAATACAACCTAGAACACTGCAGTTCACGTGATCTTTCTAAAATGTACTAGGTCATGTCAGCCTCACCTCTTTCCAGTTGGCTGCTTAAAGCCCTTCAGGTACTTCCCATGCATTAAAATCCAATATTCTTGGGGGCCAGCAGGTGGTGTGATAGTTAAGGCACTGGATACCTACATGGCCCACCATGGTTTGAGTCCCAGACCCAGCAGCTTGAAAATCACACCAGACGTGTGTGTGTGTGTGTGTGTGTGTGTGTGTGTGTGTGTGTGTGTCCAAAATCCCAAGATGAGGGTGGAGGAGGAATTGCAGTATGGCTATCCCCCCGGGGTATAATTTCTCACTGTCTCTGGTGACCACACACACCCTATGGCAAAAACCTTAATTTAAAAACTCCAGCATTCTTCTTTTACCCAATTCTTTAATGGCTTGTAAGGTCCTTCGTGACTTGGCGTTAGCCTCTTCTCCATCCTAACCACATAGTTCTGGGCCCTCTGTGGAACATTTCCCTTGCCAAGACTCCCTTTATGCCCTGGACTGAATGAGCTGCCCAGTGTGTCCATTTCCTCTGTGCTTTCCCTATTGAAAACCCTTCTCTTGGGGCCAGTGGTTGGCATAATGGCTATGTCACTGGACTCCCATGTAATCAACCATGGTTTGAGTCCTGAACCCGGTGGCTTAAACTCACGCTGTGTGCATGCGTGTGTGTGTGTGTGTGTGTGTGTGTGTGTGTGTGTGCCCAAGATCCTGAGAGGAGAATGAGAAGAAGGGATTGTGGCGTGGCCATCCTCCCTGGGGGGTGATTTCTCACTTTCTGTCTTTCTGTCTTTCCCTGTCTTTCTGGCAAGCGCATACACCCTATAGCAAAAACCTCTCACAAAAACAAAAAACACCCTTATCTCTACATTGTAATTGATTGTATTCTCCTTAAGTGCCTCGTCTGCAAGCTCTGTAAGGGATGTGTGGTACTCACCATTGTATCCCTAGCATGTAACACATGGTAGATGGTGGATAAATTATGCTGAATTCAGGCACCCCAGATACACAGACCATGCTTTTCAGCTATTCCACAGTGTTTCTATGATACCCCAAAGCACGGATTATTTTTCAGCTTGGAGTCAAGTATCCTTTCATGTCACTTTGGTTATTTGCTTGAAAATCAGCTAGGGCCATGTGTGAGCATGCCCAAGATCCCAGGAGAATGGAAAAGGGATCTCACTGTCTGTTTCCCTCTCCCTCCATTGAGTGCACATGCCCTAAAGCAAAAACCTTTAAAAAAAATAGTAATGTAATGACTGAGTCAGCAATTTGTACATGTGGCAAATAACAAAAGTGACATGAAAGGATACTTGACTCCAGATGATTTCTCACTTTTTATTTCTCTGGCGAGTGCACACTCCCTTTAGCAAAAATCTCTCTCAAAAAAAAAAAAAAAAAAAGGAATGAGACTGTGCTTTCCCTATTGAAAACCCTTCTCTTGGGGCCAGTGGTTGGCATAATGGCTATGTCACTGGACTCCCATGTAATCAACCATGGTTTGAGTCCTGAACCCGGTGGCTTAAACTCACACTGTCTGCATGCGTGTGTGTGTGTGTGTGTGTGTGTGTGTGTGTGTGTGCCCAAGATCCTGAGAGGAGAATGAGAAGAAGGGATTGTGGCGTGGCCATCCTCCCTGGGGGGTGATTTCTCACTTTCTGTCTTTCTGTCTTTCCCTGTCTTTCTGGCAAGCGCATACACCCTATAGCAAAAACCTCTCACAAAAACAAAAAACACCCTTATCTCTACATTGTAATTGATTGTATTCTCCTTAAGTGCCTCGTCTGCAAGCTCTGTAAGGGATGTGTGGTACTCACCATTGTATCCCTAGCATGTAACACATGGTAGATGGTGGATAAATTATGCTGAATTCAGGCACCCCAGATACACAGACCATGCTTTTCAGCTATTCCACAGTGTTTCTATGATACCCCAAAGCACGGATTATTTTTCAGCTTGGAGTCAAGTATCCTTTCATGTCACTTTGGTTATTTGCTTGAAAATCAGCTAGGGCCATGTGTGAGCATGCCCAAGATCCCAGGAGAATGGAAAAGGGATCTCACTGTCTGTTTCCCTCTCCCTCCATTGAGTGCACATGCCCTAAAGCAAAAACCTTTAAAAAAAATAGTAATGTAATGACTGAGTCAGCAATTTGTACATGTGGCAAATAACAAAAGTGACATGAAAGGATACTTGACTCCAGATGATTTCTCACTTTTTATTTCTCTGGCGAGTGCACACTCCCTTTAGCAAAAATCTCTCTCAAAAAAAAAAAAAAAAAAAAGGAATGAGAACCAGAGATTACTGGCCTGATTCACAGGATAATAGAAAATTGCAGTTGCCAGGCCCTAATGATGCCATCTCAGGAGTCTCCAGAACCATTCTCTATGGCTACAACTTAGGTGAAGCTAAAAGTTTCCATAACTAGGACTTTTGCTCTTGGCTTACTTGACCAAATTTTTTCCCACAGCTACAAAGCCTTCACAGGGTCAACCCAATGCTCCTCAACCCCAACTTACCTAGGGAGCTTTACAAAAAGATGCCAATGCCAAAGCCCACCTTTGGAAGTTTGTTTTTGTTTCTTTAATATTTTTGCCTTAGGGTGCTTGCACTCACTGGATAGACAGTGAGAAGTGAGAAACCCCTCCTTCCTCTCCTCCCCCTTCCCTGAGATGGGGTGGAGTTAGCCACACAGCAATCCCTTCTCCATTCTCCTGTGGGGATCTTGGGCAAGCACGCATGCACCTTGCTTGAGTTTTATGCCACCAGGTCCAGGGCTTTAACCACGGCGGCCAATGTGAGTCCAGCTACTATGCCTGAGACTTCAACTGGTTTAGGGTAGAGCCTAGGCAGCTGTAGCTTTTAGAGCCTCTCCAGGTTTAAAGGCTTAGAGGTTTTCCTGCGTGCAGCCAGGGCTGAGAATCACTGCTGGGTAGGTGGCATGTCTGAGGAGTGGGAGATCTAATACTCAGTCTAACTTACACCCAATAGTGCCTATTCTAGAGGCCAGAGAAGCAGAACGGAACGGGACAGAAGGGTAAAAATCCAAGGCAGTAAGGGATAAACTGGAGGGTAAAAGCAGACGAGTTAATGCCAAGGAAAGGCCAATCTCCATCGAGAACGCCTTTCCTTAAATAAGTAGTAAAGTTTGCTCAAAGCCAACTTTAGACACAACACCGTGCGCGGCGTTTTTCCGGGAGCTCCGGTGGGGGGGGGGTGTCCTCTAAATTCAGGCTGAGGCTGGTGGGAGGCAGGGCTCCGGGTGCAGCCCGAGGCCTGGAAGGGTAATCTGCCCACCCCGGGGTGGAAGCCAACTAACTTCTCGTCGACCGCTTTCGCCCCAGTCCCAGCAAGAACACGCGCGGCGGGACCTCAGCCTAGACCTGCCTCGGGCGGAGGGGCGTGGCAGTGTCCGCCGGCTCCCGGGAAGGGAGGGAGAGAACCTGTGTGCGTCAGCCACTGGCGGCGATGTTCCTGACGTCACCTCCCCGCGCCGCTGTAAACGTCAGTGTGGCGTGCAGACCCCGGCGCGCGGTGCCGTTTTCTCTCCAAGTTCTTGGTTACTTTTTGCAAGCCATGGAGAGTGACTTTTATCTGCGTTACTACGTGGGTCACAAAGGCAAGTTCGGCCACGAGTTCCTGGAGTTTGAGTTCAGACCTGACGGTAAGAGCGGCGGCCCACCCGCCTAGAGTGGGATCCAGACCTGGGGCCGGCTGGTGGCGAGGCCGGGGCCTCGGAATGGGCGGGGAGCTAGAGGAGGTCGGGACTGAGGACTGTGCTGCATGGTCGAAAAACAACGCTGTGTCCACTGGCGCTCCCCTGGGTCTTTCGATCCAACGGCAGGGGCATCTTTCTGTGTAGTGACAGTTTTGATCAGAATGGTTTTATCCTACGGACGTTGATTGAACGCCCACTTTGTGTCAGGCTCTATTCCATTCTGGGGGTACAGCAGTGGAAATGGACAATCGTTTCATGGAACTTGTATTTTAGTTTTGGGGAAGATATAAAAAAAGGTGTATGTGGGGGGTGGGGGACCATCAGTTGGTGTAATGGCTATGTCGCTGGACTCCCATGTAGTCGTGTCTCGGACCCGGTGGCTTAAACTCACAAGAGAGGAGAATGGAGCAGAAGGGATTGTGGCTGTGGGAGTGATTTCTCGCCCATCTGTCTCTCTGTCTGTCTGGGGAGTGATCGAGCCCTATAGCAAAAACCACTCAAAAAAAAAAAAAAAGTAAGAGTTGCTGAATGGGCTGCTTATTGAGCTCTCTGAAAATGGGTTATTTGAATTGAATCCTGATTGACAAGAAGGAACCAGTCTTGTGACGCTCAGGAGGAAGAAGGTTCTATGTAGAGGAATAGCAAGTGTCAAGGCTGGAGGACAAGAGTTAGCTTGGCATGTTTTATGTGGCCAGTGTGGCCAAAAGATAGTGAGTTCTGGGAGAATAGTACGAAATGAAGTCTCATAGGTAGGGGCCATGCCATGTAGATCTTTATAGGCCGTAGTAAAGAGTTTAAATGTTATCCAAAGGGCAGTGAGAAGCAATTGGAAAGTTTTACGCCAAGAAAAGATGCTGTTCTAGCAAGGCAACAGGTGGCATAGTGGTTAAGGCAGTGGATCCCACATTCCCAGCTGGGCAGTTTGAGTCCCAGACCTGGCAGCTTGAAAGTCACAGGGTGCATGTGCATGCATGCTCAAAATCCCGAGAGGAGAATGGAGGAGAAGGAACTGCTGTGTAGCCAGGGTGATTTCTCACTTTCCCACTATTTCTGTCTGGCAAGCGCACATGCCCTATGGCAAAAACTTTAGGAAAAAAAATAGTATTCTAGCTGTTGGGTGCATAATGGGTCAGAGTGAAAACAAGGCTACTGATTAGGAGACAGTTACAGTTGTTAGGGCAAAAGAGATGTGGGTTGCGACTAGGGTGACAGTGGCGGTGGAGAGAAGGATTTAGAATCCTGTTGGAAGCAGAACCAATTGGACTTTGTTCTTCGATAGGATTTGGGGAGCGGCACTCAGTGAAGGAAAGAAAAATCAAGGATGACAGAAAACATGCACTAAAAGGAGGCACAAAGATGAATCTGACAAGTGCTGACCTTGAGGGAGATAGATTTGTATACACATGGACAGAACAGTCTATTAGGTATTGTGGTAGAAGCGACAGGGAGTTCTGGGAGCAGAGAGGAAGCATCTAAACTAAGGAGAGTCAGAGAAGGCATTCTGTTGATACATGGGAGACTCAGGAGGGATGTGTGGTGATGTATAAATGTTCATAAGGAGACCAAGAAGGCATTTTGTACAGCATTAACAACAAAAGAAGCTGAAAAACAAAAAGCACATAGGACGTTTGAAGCAGAAATACTGTCATCTCTCAGTATCCATGGCAGCTTTGTTCTACAACACTGCCCTATGGATACCAATAACGTAGGAACCAGGGGTGCAGGGGTGATTGGGCCCAAATTCGCAGTGAGACATGGGTTCTTGTCCCGCTCTCAGGAAGAAATCTTTTCTTCTTCCTGGAATGTGGTGGGACCTGGAAAAAGCCTTTGGGTTAGGGTTAGGTCATGCTGCCTAAGTCAATCACTGAGCCACCACTGCCTCCATCTCAAAACTTAGCCATTTCAGGATTCCATTTTGAACCTATACCCTAACTATATTTTTAGGTTTCCTATCTCTTACCTCACCAAAATCCATAAAGTCCCTTAAATAAAATGGCATGGAATTTGCATATAACCTTCACACATTCTCCCATATACTTTAAATCATCTGCAGATATATGTAATCTTAGCATCAGATATAAGTGGAAAGGAAAATAGATAAACTTCATTCAGCCTGTCTTTTGGGAGCCAGCTCTGTACAGAGTGAATAGCAAGGGTCAAGTTTGAAGGGCAGGAATAAGCTTCCCTTTTCATCAGTTGGCCTGGTCTAGCTATATGCAGGGTTGGTTGGACCTGAGGATATGGAACCGTGGCTACGGAGGGCTGACTAGTTTGCTTGGCGCCCGCCGTATAAGAGGATGTTGTAGGAGTGAGATTGGAAAGAGGCAAGGGCTCAGCTTAGCTGTCTGCCATGCTAAGGAGTTTGGATTTTAACCACAAGGCAGTGGGAAGCCATTGACAGTATCAGAGTATTAGAGTAACTTAAAATCAGGTCTGTTACCACATCACCTTGTCCACTGTATGTAGAATGAACTGAAAGGGTAGAGACGTGACGCAGAGAAACATTGTAGAAGCTGCTGGAATAAACTGACTTTTTTCACGTGTGTCTTCTATTTTATAGGGGAAAAATCGTATCTTTTAAAAAATTTTTGAGAGGTTTTTGCTATAGGGCGTATGTGTTCGCCAGAGAGACAAAGTGAGAAATCACCACCACCACCCCCAGGGGGATGGCCACACCGCAATCCCTCTCCTCCATACTCATCTTGGGATCTTGGGCATACACGGACACACGCCCGGCGTGAGTTGAAGCCACCAGGTCTGGGACTCGAACCGCGGTCAACTACATGGGAGTCTAGTGACATAGCCATTATGCCAACTGCTGGTCCCAATCATATCTTTTATTTCCTTTTGTCTCCTCCCTTGTTCCTACTATATATCCAAAATAGCCTGTTAGATGTATATTTGCAAAAAAGGGCCTGTGTACCAAATGTGCCCAAGGATAAAGGCACAAAATTTTTTTGTCCCAGAAATAGGTCAGAATGTTGCACAGTCACATGGTAATACATATCAACAGAATTTTACAGTTTCCAGAATGCTTTCACAACTCCTCTGAGTCTCAGTAGTCCAATGTGAAGGGAAGTTACTCTCAGTTACTATTTCTAATTTCAGCTGAGGACGTTGGCATGCAGGAACGTGATTTGCCAAAGTCACGAAAGAGCCTGCCCGTGTTTTTTCACTTCACTTGAACTGCCTTTTATAAGAAAGTGCTCAGTGTCAGCTCTTTTGGGCTGTGAGGCTATTCAATAGCCTAAAATGAAAAACTGAAAAAAAACAGTTACTGAAACACCAAGGTGTAAATAGTAAATGGTAGACACTTTGAAGAGCAAGTCAGGATACATTTTAGGCGACAGCTGATAATGTTGTTAGGCTAATGCTGCTTTATTCATGTGTTTTCATTTTACATTGACTTTATTTTTTGCCCCTTACAGGGAAATTGAGATACGCAAACAACAGCAATTACAAAAATGATGTCATGATCAGAAAAGAGGTATGAAACTTCTGAAAGCTTTTCGTTTGCTATATATTCAGTAGTTCAGCCTTTTGTATTATTTTTGTTCTTTCTAGAAGTAGTAGTGAAAGAATAGGGAAGTAGACATATATCTTTTGACAGTTTCTAGATTATTTCTCAAATCTTGTTTTAGTTTTCATTTTCTTTTACAATGCTGAATCAACTGGTAGTTTTTCAAAGTCTGGTATACTTTGGTTTGAACCCTGAATCTGCTTACTAACCATGTGATCACGGGCATGTTTTATGACTGAATTTGATAAGTCTCCGTGTCTTCATTCACAAAAACAGGGATAAGTAAAACCTACCACTCCTGAGTGCTGTCATAGAATTAAATATGTTGAACTTAGGAGCCACCTTCAGAGCAGTGATGAACTGCTCAAGCCAGACTCTACATGGTTAGCATTGTTCCAGTCCCCAGCCCAGTCAGCCTGAAACACACCAGGCAAATGCCCAGATCCAAGGGCTGGATAACTGAGGAAGGGGATCATGGCATGACCAGTCTCCGTGGAGGGTACTTTCTCTCTCTCTCACACATTCACTCTCTCTCTCTCGTGTGTATACCTAAGTGCTCTATTGTGAATAAAGAAAAAACTTACTAAAAACAAGTAACTGTATTATACTTAAAGAGCTTGATATGTTCCCTGGCACATAGCACTCGGTGGAGAGTTATTTAGTCTGTGTCTGAGTGGGGAAAAGGAGCATGGGAAAGCGGATAATATCATTTAATACATGTTAGATGCCAGGCGTGATGCTAGGCATTTTGCATATGTGATCTTATTTTACCCTGATTGTAAGCTCATGTGATGTAGGGTATCATCCTCTTACAGACAAGAAAATGAAGGGCCAGGTATTAATTGTGGAGCTTGTTCAAAGTCACCCCAGTAATAAGAAATACAGCAGGAACTCAGACTTATGATGGACTCTGTAAAGTTATGTGTGTTCCATTCTGCTGTAGTTTCTAACACGCCATTAAGGCTTTATCAGAACTACCCTTTCTTTTTTTTTGGAGAGGTTTTTGCTATAGGGCACATGCGCTTGCCAGAAAGATAGAGAGAAACAGAGAGACAGAAAGTGAGAAATCACCCTCCAGGGGGGATGGCCACACCACAATCCCTTCTCCTCCATTCTCCTCTCGGGATCTTGGGCACACGCACACACGTGCCTGGCATGAGTTTAAGCCACCAGATCTGGGACTTGAACTGCAGTCGACTACTACATGGGAGTCCAGTGACATAGCCATCATACCAACTGCTGATCCCCAGAACTACTCTTTCTTTGGGACCAGCAGATGGTGTAATGGCTATGTCGCTGGGCTCCCATGTATTCTATTGCGTGGCCATCCCCCCCGGGGGTGAATTTTTGCTTTATGTTTTGCTGTCTCTCAGCCTCTCTGTCTCCCTGGCAAGTGTACACACCCTATAGCAAAAATCTCTCTCTCAAAAAAAAAAAAACTACTTTCATTTTAACCACTTTGTCACATTTGAAAGTGTCTTAACAGTCAACATATTTGTGTTTAATTAGCAGTCAGTTTTATGCTTAGCTGTACACGTCAGCATCATCACATTTTTTTAAAATGCAGAGTAGTATACATAATGTATTTTTTAAATGTTCTTTTTTTTTTTAAGAATTATTTTATTTAAAACTTTATTTATTTATTTATTTTAATTTGACCAGAGAGGGGCAGAGTGAGAAAGAAAGAAAGAGAGGGAAAGCAAGAAAGCAAGCTGCCAGATCTGGGACTCGAACTATGGTCAGCTATGTGGGAGTCCAGCATCCTTAATTACCACATAACCTGCTGGCCCTTGCAGAACATGTTTTAAAAGATATGCCTCTTGGGAACCAGCAGTTAGTGTAATGGCTATATATATATATATATATATATATGCCTCTGCTTTTCTGAAGTATGCTGTATGTTGAATAGTTCAGAATAACCATAGTATAGGGATGCCTTGATCTATTTTTTACTGTTTTTTGTTGTTATTGTTTGTTTTTGCTTGCTTGTTTGTTTTAAGAGAGATTTTTACTATAGGATACATGTGCTCACCAGAGAGACAGAGACAGAAAGCGGGAAGTCATCCCCCGGGGGAATGGCCACACTGCCAATCCCTTTCCCCCCTTTTTCCTCTCAGGACTGTGGGCACACATGCACATGCACTAGTCAGAACTCAAACTGTGGTTGACTACCTGGGAGTCTAGCCACTTAACTATTATACCATCTGCTGGTCCCTGTTTTATACTGTTGTAACAAAGTATTTGAGACAGTAGAAATTTATTTCCCACAGTTCTAGAGGCTAGGAAGTTCAGTATCGAAGTACTGGCAGGGTCGTGTCTGGTGAGGGCCCCATCTCTGCTTCCAAGATGGCACCTTATTGCCGCAGGATGAACACGGTATGCTTACATGGCAGAAGAGCAAGAGGGGCCCGCTAATTCCCTTGAGCCTTTCATAAGGCACTAATTGTATCCATGGGTCTTATTTCTTAATACTGTTGCACTGCAGATTAAGTTTCAACATGAATTTTGGAGGCCACAAACACTCAAACTATAGTAAGGGGACTCATAAAATGTGTTTTGGGCTCTGCGTGAGTCGGGTATGCGGGTGAGGAGAATGTCCATGTGCATAGGATGGCACATGCCAAGAGATTGTACCAACTAGATGGGAAACTGAGGGGTAGTCAGTCAGGGCGTTCCTGCCCCTGCCCCTCTTCTGCATGCCGAGGTCATTCACGAATGTCCTCCCATTTACAGAGGTGACAGGAATCAGTCTTCAGGAGCAGCCATTTTTATCTTCCATCACTATTGAGTTGGAGCAGTGCTTCAGATTACAACTTCAGTTCTGTTTTTTAACTTGCTTCAGGCTTATGTACATAAAAGTGTGATGGAAGAACTAAAGAGAATAATTGATGACAGTGAAATTACCAAAGAAGATGATGCTTTGTGGCCGCCTCCTGACCGAGTAGGCCGGCAGGTGAGTATTCACCAACTGTCCTGTACTGCAGAAATCTTACGTAGATGAGGTTTACTGCCCTGCAGGTGACATTGAAACCACTCCTGTGTGTGTGGATTCCTGTTACAGAGACCTACACAAAGCAGATTACCCTCATCGTGGTCTAAGGAAGCATTAATCCCATAGGGAAGAACAGACGCAGCAAGTGTTGCTCCTGGCCGCCAGAACCCATCCATGAATTTCTCCTTGTGATCCCTCTTCTCAAATCTTTCAGTGCCCACCTCACTTAGTAACTACTGTGGACAAAGCATTGTGGGGATACAAAAATAAATAGACCATAGTTATTTCAACAGTCTAATGGAAGGGAAAAGCAAACAAGCAATTAAGTTTATATAGTTAAACTCATGGACTATATATTCATTCCGAAAACCACTTTGGGGGACCAGCAGTTAGTGTAATGGCTATGTCGCTGGACTCCCATGTAGTCGACCACAGTTTGAGTCCTGGACCCGATGGCTTAAAACTCACGCTGGCTGTGTGTGCATGCGTGCCCAAGATCCTGAGAGGAGAATGGAGAAGAAGGGATTGCAGCATGGCCACCCCCCCTGGGGGGTGATTTCTTGCTTTCTGTCTCTCTCTTTCTGGTAAGCGCATGCACCCTATAGCAAAAAAAAACAAAAAAGCCACTTTGGTAATTAAGAAGTAAATGCCACTGTCATATTTGAGGCAACAGAAAAGTTATTTTCACTTTGATTGTTAACCATCCTAACGTAGGCTTCTAAGTGATTTCCTTGTTTCTGGCTCTTGTAGCTTTTAGTCCATGTTCTATCTTCAAGCTGGTCAGATCATTTACACTACTAAGGTCTGGAATACTTACTCCATGTTGCCCAGAAAGATTAGATCCTTTGGTATTTTTAAAACATAGATACAGCCATGTTACTCCATACTGTTAGCAGTGAAAACTTGTACATACAGTATTAGATGAATTCTTTCAAATCTCAACAGTGGTGGAGCTTTAGGAAACAGCTTCCTCTAACAGTCTGAGCTTCTCGAGGGTTGAATCAGTATTTACCTGTTTCTAGTGTCTGGCGCAGTGTACTGCCCTTGTTTCTGCAGCCATCTCTAATAAGTTTATGGTCAGTGACAAATGATAGACCCTTCTCCTGTGTTTGGTGAATACTTCAATTCTGCTCAACCTAGATTTTTTTAAATGTTTCTAGGAGCTTGAAATTGTCATTGGAGACGAACACATTTCTTTTACAACATCAAAGATTGGTTCCCTTATTGATGTCAATCAGTCCAAGTAAGTACATGATTATATGTCCAGTTGTTTCTGCTTTGGAGCAGATTCATAAGAATCCATTAACCAAATTGGGACTGTTATGAGACGATCTGGTGCAAATGCAAGAGGCAAGCAGCTTTGTCATTTTTGAAGACTTGCTCCTGTTGCTTTTGGTGTTTCAGGCAATCATTGGTACTAAGGCCTTCTCGGTGACACATACAGAGTAATGCATGGTGGCAGCCAGGATAGAAAATATAATCTGCCAAAACAAAGTGCTTGGAATAAACTGTAGTCACTGAATCTGAACAGCTTTCTCGGTGTTGACCATTCAGATAAGCATATCTTAAAGTCTGACTTTGGTGAAACTTGAAATTTTTTAGGATCTACATTTTAAAAATTGACGTTGTCAGTAGGGCAGATTATAAAATTGAGACATTAATGTATATGCTACAAAGCGTGCTTAGAATTTACCAAAGTCATTGGAGCTTGGAGGATTAGAAAGTAGATAAGACTCACTTACCATAAATGCTGGTACCATCATCTCCCTTTGGATAGTTTCCTTGTTCTTAGCCTGTAGTGCCTAGTAATCTTCAGCTTCTTGGCCCTGCCTTTACTAATGTGTTCCTCATTTTACACTTGATCTTAGCCAAAAGGCCGAGAAGCGATGTGTTCCTCATTTTGAAAGTAGTATGTCAATTTAGAAAATACAAAACTGTAGAAAAGTAGATAATCCCCCAGCATCTTGGCTAGACAACTGTTGTTAATATTGTGAAGTATTTCTTTTTATTATTTTTTTCTATACATTAAAAAATAGTTTTGGGGACCAGTAGGTGGTGCGAAGGTTAAAGCTGCTGGATCTCACACGGCAGACTCTACGGTTCAATCCCAGACCTAGCAGCTAGAAAATGACGCCAGTTGTATGAATATACATGGCCAAAATCCTGAGAGGAGGATGGAGGAGAAGGGACTGTAGTCAGGCCATCCCCCTTGGGGGCGATTTCTCACTTTCCCTCTCATTCTCTCTCTACATTCACCCTATGGCAAAAATCTTATAAAGAAATAAAGATAAGTGTGTGTGTGTATGTAATTTTTATAAAGCACAAAAAATATCATTGAGATCAACAATCTTAATCATTTTTTATCTTAATATAAGAAAAACAACATATTTAAATGACCTCATAATACTCCCTTTAATATATAGCCTTTTCCTTCTTTATGGACACAAATGTCGAAATGCTGAAAGTTAATGATTTACTTACAAGGAACATCTTGGTAGGTAAATAGCAAGCATTATGAAATAGTATTTTTTGGCAATTTTTTGCAACTTTTTAAACCTTTGTTCCCCTCTTGTGTTTTAGGGATCCAGAAGGCTTACGAGTATTTTATTATCTTGTCCAGGACCTGAAGTGTTTGGTCTTCAGTCTTATTGGATTACACTTCAAGATTAAACCGATCTAGATTGCATGTTGGTGTGGACTTGAGGGGGGTGGGAGTAGTTTTTAATTACCATTATCAGGAACTTTTTATGTATATCAGGGCAATATTTTTTTATAAACTATAAATGATCCACTTTAATAAATACATGATAAAATCCAATTTTTATTATTTTATAATGACTTAAATGTGAACTTTTCTCAACTACTTTGTAAAAGACTAATATTCTGTATTAATTACTGCCCCAAAACTAAATCCAATATTCTAGCTATCACTACCATTTTATAGGAAACAAGAGAATGGAGAAACATGCTTAAAAAATATATATAGGACCAGCAGGTGGTGTAATGGTTATGTCACTGGACTCCCATGTAGTTGACCACAGTTTCAGTCCCAAATCCAGGGGTTTAAAACTCAGGCCAGGAGCATGTGTGTGCATGTCTAAGAGCCTGAAAGGAGAATGGTGAAGAAGAAATTATAGTGTAGCCATCTCCCCAGGGGGTGACTTCTCACTTTCTGTCTACCTCTGTCCCTCTGGCAAGTGCGCACCCTATGGCAAAAATCTCTCTTAAAAAAAAAAAAAATAGGGACCAGCAGTTAGCATAATTGCTATGTCACTAGACTCCCATTTAGTCGACCACGGTTCTAGTCCTGGACCCGGTGGCTTAAACTCACGCCAGGTGCATGTGCATGTGTGCCCAAGATCCCGAGAGGAGAATAGAAGAAAAGGGATTGTGGTGTGGCCATCCCCCCTGGGGGTGATTTCTTGCTTTATATCTCTTTGTCTTTCTGGCAAACACCCTATAGCATGCACCCTATAGCAAAAACCTCTCAAAAAAAAAAATATATATATATGTGTGTGTGTGTGTGTGTATCATATATATATAGGTATCACTGGGTAGCATAATGGTTAAGGTACTGGACTCCTACACAGCACTCTACTATTTGAGTCTTGGACCCAGCAGCTTGAAAATCACACTGAAAATGTGTGTGTGCCCAAAATCCGAAGAGGAGAGTGGAGAAAGGTTGGTGGTATGGCCATTTCCCCTAGGAGGTGATTTCTCCCTTTCCTTCTCTCTGTCTCTCTCTGGTGAGCACACACGCCCTATGGCAAAAACCTTTTAAAAAAAGGAAAAAAATTGGGGACTAGCAGTTAGCATAATGGCTATGTCACTGGACTCCCATGTAGTCGACTGTGGTTCCAGTCCTTGACCTGGTGGCTTAAACTCAGGCTGGTTGTGTGTGTGTGTGTGTGTGTGTGTACCCAAGATCCCAAGAGAAGAATGGAGTAGAAGGGATTGTGGTGTGGTCATCCCCTGCTGGGGGGTGATTTCTCATTTTCTGTCTGTCTTTCTGTCTCTCTGTCCTTCTGGTGAGTGCATGCACCCTATAGCAAAAACCTCAAAAAAAAAAAATTAGGAAAGGTTTGCCAGCAAGAAGGAACTATAAAGGAGATTTAAATACACTGGGGCTGGCCCTGTAGTGAAGTGGCTAAGGGATCCATATCCCATATGGCTGACTGCAATTTGGATCCTGGCCCCCAACTACTTGAAAAACTAGGTACACGTGCATGTATACCCCAAATCCTGATGGGACGGAATAGAAGTAAAGCAAAAAGGATTACCTCATGACCATGCCCCTCAGGGTGAGGGTAGGGGATTCTTTGTCTCTCCCCCCCTTCTAAGCAAGCACAAACATACTGGCAATTACAAAAAAAACTTTTTTTTAAGGTTTTTGCTATAGGGTGCATGCGACAGCAAGAAATCACCCCCCAGGAGGGATGGCCACGCTGCCATCCCTTCTCTTCCGTTCTCTCGGGATCTTAGGCACGCACACATGCCTAGTGTGAGTTTAAGCCACTGGGTCTGGGACTACATGGGAGTCAACTACATGGGAGTCCAGCGACATAGCCATTATGTCAATTGCCGGTGCCACAAAAAATTTTTTTATCAAAATAGACTGTTTATTTGTTTGTTTGTTTGGAGAGGTTTTTGCTATAGGGCACGTGATCTTTCCAGAAAGAGAGACAGAAAGTGAAAAATCAGACCTCCCCCTCCCCCCAGGGGATGGCTACGCCGCAATACCTTCTCCATTCTCCTTTCAAAATTTTGGGCACGTATGGGAACCACAGTTAGCGTAATGGCTATGTCGCTGGACTCCCGCGTAGTCGACCGTGGGTTTCCGCCCGGACCT